CATCATCATCATCATCATCATCATCATCATCATCATCATCATCATCATCATCAAAGTGGCAGATCTGAAATAGATATCGGCGCTCATGGTTCTCTATTCACCCCTCCGCTCGAATGCATCCAAAAAAAACCCCCCGTAATATAGTACTCTCATTATCCTGGTGCTTTCCTGTCACCGATCCGGTTAGGTTTTCCAAATACATTTCTCTGCCTCGTTTGCTATGGGTTTTTTTTCTCTATAATAAATCAAAAATGTCGTTTTACACTAACCAGGCGAATGTTATTTTAAAGAAAATAAGTGGGTGGTTGGCAGGTGCTCTGGTGTGGTTTGCTTCTTCTTTCATCAAACATCTATCGTCCGTATCTCCCCTTCTTCTTTTTTTATGTTTACGTACTCTCTTGTAACACCTCTAATCGTGTGGCCCTCATATGACCGTATGCATTTTCGATCGAAGTAAAACCTCTACTAAAACTAAAAACTAAGCCAAATACATTTCTCTGCCTCGTTTGCTATGGGTTTTTCCCTCTCTGTAAATCGAAATGATCGCTTTACGCCACTCACAGAAATAGCCGGCCGAGTGTGATTTGAAGACAAGTAAGATGGACGACCACGGAAAAACCATCGTAATGACATTTGCTGGAAGAGATAGCACAGTATTTAGTTGCTGCAGATCGTAGCTACTGCGGTTTTAGGTAACTTATTGTGTGTGTGTGTGTGTGTGTGTGTGTGTGTGTGTGTGTGTGTGTGTGTGTGTGTGTGTGTGTGTGTGTGTGTGTGTGTGTACCAGGTGTTTATGCGTACATGTGTTTGTCGTGTGCGTTTGTCTCTTTGCATTTTATTGAATAGATCGTCTCCGAATGGCAGAAGGGCAAGATTGCTGGACACCGATGACTGATTGTACAAGCTTGTTCGCCTGTAGCTCCCCAGAGATGACTCTATTAATAATGTGAGGTTCCTATTCTTGTCACCTGCTGTGTGAGAGCACCACTGGCAGGCTCTACTTGTTTTCATTCAATGTGGGTGGTTGGCGGGTGCTCTGGTGTGGTTTGCTTCTTCTTTCCTATCAAACATCTATTGACTTTATCTCCCTCCTTCTTTTTTGTTTTTGTTGCTCTCTTGTAACACCTCTAATCTTCGGCACTTATATGACCTTATTGTGTTGCAAGTGGCGTAAAACACTTACTAAAACTAAAACGTTTATTCCCTCTTTTATTTCTGTCTGTTTTTTCTTGCTCTTTTCTCCCCGTTCTAAATGTCCGTCTTTGTTTCACTGTACTTCTCATTACTCAAAAATTCAACAAGTAGGGGATAGGCTTAAGCCTTGTCAGAGCTAAAGGAAGATGATGACAACAACAACAACAACAGTGTTGCGAGTGCCTTAAAACACTAACGAAAACAAACAAACAACAACAACAACAATAATGATAACGATAGCTACTACTACTGCTACGACCTACTAATGCTACTACTACTGCTACTACTACTACTACTACTACTACTACTACTACTACTACTACTACCTACTACTACTACTACTACTAC